CCACAGCCTCACAACCTGACAGATGCAATCACTGGTATAATTAAAAAAGATGTATATTTAGTCAACAGACTTTAATTTAATCCCCTTCTTTTTATTATTTAGGTCCTAAAGTGGTGTCTCACAAAATCTCAGTTGAGTCCATAGAAGAGGTGTCCTCTGTCCTGAAGAGGGCGCCAGTCATCTGGGACAACATACATGCAAATGATTATGATCCCCAAAGACTTTTCATTGGGCCGTATAAGGTAAATATATGCCTGTCAGCACTGGGATTAGTACGAGATGGTCTTATAAGGATGTTCCCTGGTCAGTTTCCTAAAACATTTAATATTGTCTTCTGTGAAAAGGATCGACCCACTGAGCTGATTCCCAAACTGAGAGGAGTGCTCACCAATCCTAACTGCGAGTTCTACCCAAACTTTGTTGCCATCCACACTTTGGCGACATGGTGCAAAGCAACTGTCGATGAAGGACCCAAGGATGTGGAAATGGGTCAGTGTGAAAGTTGATTCTTTCAAACAGTACAAACCTGAAAAACAAGCTTGTGCAGTGTCTCACTGTCCCTGATCTTCATCAGCAGGCGATGAGGAGCAGGACCCCGGCTACAGCCCCCACAAAGCTCTGACCCTGGCCCTCTCTGACTGGCTGCAGGAGTTCCTGAGCACGGATCAACCTGGAGGTAGAGTCTCATGAGTGGACAGTAAACTTTACAAGGTTAAATGTGTTGTTACCATTCTATCACAAAATAGATGGAGCCATGTAAGAATAAAACAATGTGTGTCCCTCCTAATTCTTCCACACCCATGTCGTCCTCCAGCTCGTCTGAAGAAAGACTTGTTGGATGAGGAGCCCATGCAGACCGACATGGGAGAAAGCTCCTATGTTCCTGGACCTGGGGAGAACCCACTGTACACAGCAGAACCTCTGACCCTGGACGACCTGAAGCTGCTCTCAGACCTGTTCTACCTGCCGTACGAGCACGGGAGCACAGCCAGGACCATGCTACAGGAGCTGGACTGGCTCACGAACAACACCCGCGCTGCTGCTGCAGAGACAGACCAGGTAATGCTGTGTGTTTGCAGTATTTTTTTCAAATGCAAATGATGGGTTGCACATGCTTCTTCACACAACTCCTGGTGTTTTCCAGACAGTGGAGTGGTGCTCAAGAGCAAAGCAGTTTGATGACATGTGTGAAGCGGTGGTGCGGATGTTTAATCGCCTGTCCAACGCCCCCAACCGCAGCATTCTGTACGACCTCTACAACTACATCTGTGACATTAAGAGTGGGGTCGGCCTGGCTCGAGCCTATGTGAAAACACTGGGTGAGAAAATGGAAGTCTTCTAATGATGATCAAACTACACAGGCTGGTGTGCAGAGGATACAGTATGTCAGAGAAAAAGATCCTGTAGTATTCAGAAGACAAGAAAATCAAATATGTCCTCCTTCATCTACCCCCACTCACTCAGATCAGTGGCAGGAAGTGATTTAGGCTGGAACACGGGACTTCCTCCTGTTCGCAGCACATTTGCTTTTATGGAGCATGACGGACATTATGATGGAAAACAAAAGGAGTGAACTTGTTCCTTGTTCCATGTCATGATGCAGAAGAAAGATACTGACCTGAACAGAAGTGTGGATGTTATCCGTGATCTTAAGCGGTTTTCAGAGATAAACTCTGGAAAATGTCCGGACAATTGAGTCTGGAGTTTGTCCGGAGTACATTTCATATGAAGACCAGATAATTTAGGTGAGGGGTGGCGTCTGGATAGAGCATGCAGGATGCAGGACATAACAGACAGATTCTGCTGCAGAAATAAAAAAAATTCATCTACTGTTTATTTTTGCATGTGCCACATTTTGTGGCATTTTACTAGAGAGGCTGGGAGACAAAACTTGGGAGCATGTTCTGAGCAACTGAATTGAACATATGTGTTCTCACATTCAACCCCTGAGAACAATTTCCGGAGCCTGAAAGAAGCTTTGGAGGAATCTTTAAAATAACTTTCAATATATGTATTAGATTATATTTATTAAAGCCTTTGAGATTTAGCATGAATCCCTGTCTCAATCTGCACCATTTATTAGGTTTGTAATAACTTGAAATCAGATATATGAAATGAGTCGCCACTCCTCAAGTCCTATAAAAAACAATATCTATAACAAGAAACATTCTTTTCATCAGGATTCTCTGGTGAACCCAGAACACGTAAAATGTGCTGTGCATGTGTCCCACTTTATGCTGCAGGCACAAACTGTACTCAAGCAGCAATGTTTGTTATTAAAACGACAGGAAAGAAACGTTAGCAAGAATTCTGCACATGGACTGAAGATGGTGGATACTGGTCATGGACTACCAAATGGGATTATTTATACCAAAATGAAAAGGGTTTCATTGTTTCTGTTTTCCATAGGAGGACGGGGTCAACCCTCCGCCCAGCTTATGAACGACGACCCTGAACCCTGGGGCTTCAGAGGAGGACTCTCTGGAGAGTTCCAGGTAATCAAACAGAATCAAAACAGATGAATTAATTATTCAAACTAAATTGCTATTTTCCCATTAAATAAACCATGATAATTGTGTTACTGGGACGATAGAACTAGTAAATATCCTCTCGTAAGTATGTTATATCATCTGAGAATTCTGAATGTTTGTCTTCATGAATATGAACTTACTGTACACTGACAGAGAATGCTTCCCGGACATGGAAACAGGGATCTTTTCAGACATCCGCCCATGACGGCAGTATACTGCATACGACCATACTGCCCTGAGGACAAGGTAAAGAAGGCCGATCCTCAGACGTCCTGATGCACATTAGGTAAAATTCCGCAGGGATGTGTCAAAGTTTTGTTTCCTGTCTTAGGTGGGGGTGCAGATGATTTTCAGAGAGATGCAGAAAGCAGGAGAGGGCAAAGTTCCCCCGATGACACAGCCACCACTTATCTGTGATAGGTAAGAAATAATCAATTACTCTAATCGATGACTGTATCCTGAGAATTGATGCATTTATACCATCTTAACACCTGCTCTGCCTCACGGCAGCCTGTCAGCAGGTGACATCTCCCCTCAGTGTGCTCTCGTCCTGGAGGACGACATCGGCATGTGCGGTTACGCGCTGGCGCTCACTGATGCCAAATCAGCTGCAGCCAAGATTCAGGTGATCTAATGTGCAGGAATCATTTTCCAGAACAAGAGCCGACGGAAAAATGCTATTTTTTTAAATTCTATGTTATCTCCCACCTCTAGAGGGCAACAAGTGACTCAGTGTTTGAGGAATTCCCGTCCTTGATCACTGTGCAAATGCTGCCTCGGGTCACTGACCCCTGTCCAGCCAAGCGTATGATTGGTCAGCTATTGTCCTCCATCAGGAGCACTGGTAGGTCCGGGCCGTGCACAATGCCTGTGATTATTCTGAGATGTGCCTCATGTATAAATTGAATAGGCTGCATATTCTCCACAAGGAGGAGCTGTTCAGGTGATGTCATAACAGTTGTACACTTGCCAAAAGTAGATGTTATATATCCAGTCTGTCAGTGTAATATCAGTGTATACTTACATGTGTTGGTGTTGAACCAGTCAGAGAACGTAGTAACTGCTGCAACTGTAAAACTGATCCAGTGTAAAACTGAAGCCTCTGTTATTTTTACAAACTATGAGACACGCTTTTGGATAATTCAGACTTTTTGACCAATTACAGAAGGTTGACAGAATTAAAAAATAGAAGATGAAAAAGAAGCAGATTTCTTTCAGTCTTAACCTCCAACTATAATGTTTGAACATGGAGGATGTTCATTTGGCACTAAGTTCCAATGTGCAACTAAAACTAAGCAGATCAAATGTAAACTATGTAACAAAGACATGAACATTGGTTCAGACCTTAATCCAGACTCTCAGGTGTGAAAACACCGTAAGATTTAACAAACAGCACTTAGTAAGAAGAAACTGCTGCGCTCGTAATTTGCAGCGCATCTTTGTTAAAATGGCAGACGCCTTTATTTTCTCTGCATGTAGATGGCATATATTAATTTTATACATTGTGCACATACACTGATGCTGCAGGATTATATTCCAGTAACAATGACCTCAGTTTATCCCAAAAAGATTTAATCTCAAACACCATCTTGTTTTCCCTCAGGTTCCAGAGGAGCGTTCTGTGAGTTGAGGCACAGCGATCGGAGGATGCTCAACTTCTACACTAAACTGGGCTCCTTCAAACCCGTTAAAGTGGCCGGTCTACCTCAAGACATCCTCACAATGGCAACAAGCCTCTGAACAAGAGCGCTCACCAATAGATTTTACTCAGGTTTGAACTGTTGAGATCAAACTGCTGTGTGACTAATGGAAATGCTGAGTTAAATGTGTCTTACAAACTCTTTTATGATTAAAAGTGAATGCAAGATGATTGATTTTTGTAGCTATGAAAATTGTAAAAAGTATAGTGATTATTTTTTAACTGAAAACAATAAAATTGTATCATCACACGGTGTGTTTACAACATTATCATTCTTAAACAGCGGAAACTGTTTATAGTGATCACTTCTTATTGGGTAAAATTATTATTTTTTCATTTTCTCAATTCGTCACACACTACAATGTATTTTTTAATATTTTTTACATGAATATAATATGTCACCTGCCGCCTTCTGTCCTAGTCATGGGGTCAACTAACTCTTTCTTTATCTAAACAATGAGAAAGAAAAATCTGATGTTTTTTTTTTAGGACATTAACCCTTTAACTATTAAATGAGATTAAATGTAACATTTCAAATGTAGTCTTGTTTAGAGGAGAAGGCCCTGAGCATTCTTGTGTAGACAAAGCAGAAAGCAGCAGTTGCTAATCATTAGCTGTCCATATCCCTTCTACAAATAAGTTAGAAAAGAGCCTAATAGTGTGACAACAGCTTCAAAAGATTTTTCCCTAGTTTTTGATCACAGTCAACAATTTGCACTGTCAATGAAACAAGTCACTGTAGGTGGTACACACAAACATAACAAGACGCGTAAAGAAAAGAAGACATTTTAATATGTATTTTAAGATGATACAAAATAAATATATTAATTGTTTCTCTTTGTATAAAGTTGCTGGTTTTTCACTCTACTGGCTTGAAAAGCTGATAATATTCAGTTTACAAAAGTGAGTGAACAATTGAGCAGGACCTGCCCAGAATAATTTATCAAGTTTTACAGATCAGAGGTTGCTATAATGACAATGGTAATGGTTGACCCATTAATATATAAATCAATAAAAAATGAACAAGAGAAACATCAGTGTCTTAAAAGGTCAAATAAAGGTAAAATACAAAAGCAACAAATAAGGTTAATATTTATCATTGAGAACATTCTCTTCTATTTATTTTTGAACATGCTACTCTGTTTTACCTTGTTCCCCTGAGTGTTTAACCGCCAACAGAGTTCAGCTGCAGTGGAGGAGGTCCACATTGACCTGGTGTATGACAGAACGATAAGCAAACCTTTTTACCCAGAGTGCTTTGGGATGTCATAAGTGTCTAATCAAAACAGGATGTTTAATGCAGGACTCACCAGTATGCATTGAAATATATAATGGAAATCCTGTGGGTGGGGCGTGCGTTGCAGAACTGCATTGTGGTTGCTACATGTTTGTCGTGCTGTGTGTGGTTGTGTAGCCCTCAACTCTTTTTGTGGAAGTGAAGGCACCAGCCAATCAAATCACTTTAATAATGTTTGTATGTTAATGTTGATTTAAAGAGGAGGAAGAGGTGTTCATCTGGGTGTGGATTTTATATCCCATTTACTTCTATTTAGCATTTGTATTGATAACTCGCATAGCATGTTGTTGTGATGATCGCCACAGCACAAAATATTGGGAACACCAACTGACAATCATTAGCACATCGAATATGTGTGAGTCCTGCGGAACTCAATGATGAGACCGTATTATTTATTTTATAGGGAATCCCATATCCACCAGTGAAACAGAAAAATGAAATGGATTAAAAAGTAGAAAATATAAAACAGTACCGTAATAATATCATTAATTTGAGATATTAACTTGTTATTTTGAGATAGTAAGTTATTCTATTGAGAAGGTTTCTTGTTATAATGATTTATAGGATTTTTTTTTAACTGAGTAGCAGAAATGGGCTTCCATAATTTTACCTGCACTGACTTAAGTTAGTTTAAAGTCTTATCTGGTGGCGACTGATGTGTGTTAAAGTCGTCGCTGTCTTACATCAGTCACATACAGGTCTGTGGCTGATATTTGTTCTCCCATGGTGGTGTGGCTTTCTCCTGCACTTGTATCTTCCGTTGCAATTAATAGTAATTAGGAAATATAAAGGTTTGTGTCATATGGTATTGCACAGTCGCAGTGAAAGAAAAAACTTAAAACAACAGTGTTGCATATAAATAGTTCAGTTCTTATCCTCTGAGACATGAAGGAGCCGTGCAGAGTTTGCCTACAGGAACATGTGTACCTTCAGCCCGTGACTTTCAAATAAACTCAAGCCCTTCATACTTCACGTCCCCGATCTTTGTCTCGGGCATCAGCACACGACCGTCAAGTGTGAGTGCGATGATGTAGGTGGCGATCCTGCCCGCATCCTCCTCTGATTTTAGGGCCAGAATGATCTGATCGTCCGTGTCTGGGACAAATTTAAAGGAGGAGAAGCCATGGGTGGGGTTGAGCGGTCCGACGTGCCGTACGCTCATGTAGCTGAAGTCTGCAAGGCAGGACAGCAGGAGGTTGGTGGCACGCCGCTCGTCTGCAATCTCTTCGTAGTGCTCGTGGCTGGCACGGCGAGGGAGGAAGAACCAGCGCTGGAGACGCTCGCTCCATGATGCTGATTCGTGGATAAGGTAGCCTGTAGAAGTGAGAAGTAACAGAATGAATAGGAGCTGATTGTGTGTAATTAAAAGCTAGTTCTTCAGTTTCTTAAGACAACTTGCTAAAAACTCTGTTGATAGTGTCTTTAAAATAAGACGGGTTCTATATGACTGAAAGGAGCACTGCTGAAGCAACCAACAACCAAGCAGGTTGTCGCTGATATCGAGACAGCATTAAATCAACCAAATGATCAATTTCTCTTAAAGTAGAAGACATCTGCACACTGCACGCGGTTTACATTTTTGTGTCTCTCATATCACAAGTTTCTCTTTATTTCTTTTATTTTTTTTAGCTTTTCTCTGTGACCATTGATAACAGCCCGTGGAATATAAAATAAACTGAAAGGCTCCAGAGCATTAGAATCTTTGTCTGTCAATACTAGGATAGACAGAACTATAAAGAGGAAACAAAAACAATGTGTCAGCACCTGGTGGTTGGATCCCTGCTGCACTCCGCAGGGCATTGTAGTGTGGTACCCAATTCTCATGCTCCACGTCGCCATGGTAGCCAACAACTTTCACCCACTCTGGGTTGTTGTTGACAACTTCCCCAGACGTCGTGGTCCACTCCTTCCCCAGGCCTCCAACGTACAGGTGCTCGTCCTTCACTGCCAGCCATTCTGCCTTGAACCCTGCAAACAACGGAGATGTAAAGATCTGTGAAGAGGCATGTGAATCACCCCAGAAAGGACCCTCAACCTTTTAAAGTTATTTAGTGCTTACTACATCTTTCACAGTTCACGAAAGCTGAACTTGCTTGTCATTCAGTTGTAAGCTGTGTACCAAATTTATGGTGCTGAAAAAAAGCAGAAAGCCTTAAATAATACTCAACTGGAAACTGACCTTTGGACACTGACCCATCGCCGTCAGTTAAAATTACCCAGGGAATAGCCTGGTTCCCCTCGATCCTGTACACCACACCTGTACGGTCATCTACACTGTACAGGTGCCCGTTAAATGCCACAAGCTCGGACAGCTCCATTCCTGCAGCAGGATTAGTATATAGTAAAATGAAATTAGCCACACATTGATTTGAACAGATAAACATATACCCAGAATATAACAAATACATTTGCAAGTCCATATACCTCGTCCTTTCTCAGCCAGATGACTCTCCAGGGTGACGGTCTCAGTGTCCCACTCCACCTGCAGTCTGTCTGCGCTCTCTGAAACTGTCAGATATCCTCTTTTCATGTAGCTGAACCACGTCTGATCCTTAGAGCTACGTGATGCTGTGTCCAGGTCTGCTATCACGCCTATGCGGTAACGGATGCCGTTCCTCGTCTTCTCTGGTGGACTTAACGGATAAGTGTCATTGTAAGGCTTTTCCATTTTCTGACGGCCAGCGAGGCTACGGACAGTTTGTCTGTTAGCGTCCCTGAAGATGTCCCCCTGACCCTCCCTGTACAGTTCCAAACTGTGGGCCCTGTTGCGGTAGTAACCTCTGGTAGGAGTGTCTCTGTCCCCTACTGTCAGGTGCAGATACAATATGAGCACTAATCCCAGCAGGGTCGCCACAGTGATGGCCCTCCATTTTGGGTGAAAGCGTAAGTCTGAGGTGGCAGCTTGTGTCATGGACGCCAAGGCCAGGGGGAGGCCTCGGACGGCAACACCAAAGGAGGTCATGGAAGAGTTGTCTTCATTCTCAACATCAGGCGTAGACTCGGGGTGATGACTATCATGCCCTGGATCTGGAAAAAACACGGGAGAAAAAGATCAGGAAAAAGGGTTAGAACTGAAATAACTGTTAGTAGGTCTATCATTTAATTCATTTAAAAACAGCCAAGTTAGACCATAACCTTAAAGTCATTTTACAGTTCTACTTACTGATACTGCCTATTAATGTGGTACTTTAATGGTATTCTAATTGGTTCTTTTTAGAGTTAGTGTGTGTCTGTTGCACAATGCTGCATGGTTGATTACATGTTGATTACACTGCTACACACTACTTTGACAGTAGTCTGGAATGTTGAGTATTAAAGTAACACTATACAACTAGCTCTTCTGGTTCTGGTTCTGGGGATCATGGGCGATATCCACCGTTCAGTTGTAATTCTGTTCTACTACAGTCACAGCTCGTGTTGAGCTGTGACTGTAGTAGAAGATTGATTGGCTTTGATTTTTCTCAACATGAAAATGGTTGAATCACTTTGTGGCTGCAAAGGGCGCAATTGCTCAGTAAGGGTTAGTGTACAAAGTGTTGCTTTAACTTGGTTGTGGTTGTCATGTGCAGCCTGAATGACAGGCACACAGGGAGGGCAGGATAGAAACCCTTTTTAAAGAGCCTGCTTTTTTTAATTAGGTGTTTATTTATGCAGAGGCAGCTATTTGGGTTATTAGCTGTCCATTAACCTTTCAAACTGTCTACTGCACTACATTAAACAGTTCCATATAGCTGCTGGGCTCTCTCTCTCATTTTCCTCTTCCGCTCCACTCTTTGCTCATACAGGGACTCTACCTGCAGGGCACCTTCATAAGTTTGTTTGAGGTGCAGGCTCCACTTTCAGGTCAAATCCACTGTCAAGACAGGAAATGCACACAAAAGAGGAGCTCTGCAGGCAGACACTCCAATTCCTCTCTTTGAAATCCAACTGACAGAAATCCAGAGTAGCAACGGAGAAGTAAAATCCCTGAAAATAGGCTCTTGTTTATTGTTCTCTCTTCACAACGGAGCTTTGTGGTGTTGTTCAAGCAGAACCTCTTAATATGCAAACTGAGTAGGAAGCTGGGTCGTCATAGTTCAACAGGGTGATATTATTTGGATTTTAATGCTAAATTATTTGTCCTATTTAGCTACGAAATGGTATGTAAATCATAACAGCATGTTATCAGTGTAGCGAGAAGATTACCCAACGTTTTACTTTCTCATATTGTGATATCAGAGTTGATCCCCTGTATGTGAAATATAAACCACTTTCACTTCCATTATAAACATATATTGTTTAATGAAATAAAAACCTACCTTGCAGTTACTAAGAATTCACTAGGGAAATTTAAAAATGCTCCATCATCTACATAAAATTCTATTCTCTATTTAATTCAATCTGCAAATTAAAAAATGTGCCTGATGAACCAGTCATCTACTCCAATAATTCTGCTTTGTACTCAAGTGTCAGTTTGACACCTCACATGTCTGTTGGAGTCTTATGTCATAAATAATTAGTTTGAAGCCTGAATCCAGGAGAAGCAAAAGTCAAATGCAGAAATTTACGAACTTAAACTAATATACTAATATGTAAACTTTGGTTTGGTGGGTTTTTCCTCTTAAGCTCCAGGTAGAGACGGTTTTTTAACTTGTCTACATTCACTTTAGATACAAACAGGCTTTTCAAAATACTTCAGGTTTACATAACAGGGCTGGGATGACATGCCATCAGACGCCCTGCCCACTGAAATATGAGAGACATGCTTGTTTTGGAGACTGTGAACAGAAGGTAACCATCAACCTTTGTGTCTTCAAGGGCAACCGACTAGTACAGTAACTGTGTTCCCATGCTCACCTGTACTGAGTCACATAATGCTGTGTTTTCCAGTTTGAATAATTTTACAGACAAAACCACCAATATCATTTTTAAAGCACTGCTAAAACAAATCATACAACATGACTTCCCT